TCGAAATTTTGAAAACGGGTCCAAAAATGGACCCCAAAGAGCTCCATGCTGTTAAAACAGTTTGCCAAGCAATAATAACGTACAAAAAACTCCTGACCAAACTCCAGGACGAAACAATTGTCATTTCCAATAGCCAAATGCCTAAAATAAAGGATTCAGTTGGAAAAAGGAACCAGGCAATGGAACTAGGACTTCCGCAGCCACCCAATCACTAGCCCCGAAAAGTGCGAAAAGCGACGCTTGTCAGAAAAGTTAACCGTGACCTTAAAAAAGAAAATCCACTGACCCAAAATCAACTGGCAAAGAAGCACCAAGTCTCACAACATACAATAGGCCGAATTATTCATCAAGATCTACGGAAGAAGACATTTAAAAAGATGAGAGTTCACGTACTAAAACCGCGCCACAAAAAAATACGGAGGACCACATGTCGGAAGCTATACAAAAGTCATTTGGCCGGAAATCGGTCTGAATTTGTTGTCACATTGGACGAGGCACTTTTCTTTGCTCAAGATTGCAAAGAGACTCGAAGAATTTGCTATTCAAAGTCCCTAAGTGATATGGAGAAGTTTGTGTGCGAGAAAAGTGAAAAGTTTGCGGTCACGGTTATGGTAGTGGGGGCAATGAGCGGTCGTGGAACTCTCCCTTTGATTTGAGTTCCCCATAATGTAAAGATTAATGCCACCTACTATGTTTTAGAAGTTTTAAAAGCACTTTTGGAAGAAAAAATTCCAAAGCGTTATCGTGGCGAGACCCACAAGGTATTTTTTCATCATGACGCTGCGTCCTCTGACACCGCTCGGATCACCACCCAGTATGCAGCCATTCTTTTTTTAATATTCGGAATTTAAATTATTTTGCATAAAGATAAACTAGTTACGTCCGGTTATGCGCCTTTGGTGCTTTAATTCTGATCTGAAACTTCAGATCGACACTTTGTTCAAATGGGCATCAAATTTTTTATGCATTTTGAAAACTTTCAGATGAACAATGGTTCAAAGAAAATCTGCTGCCGGCTTTAAAAGCCCGGCTTTTTGGAAATGATAACTTCATTCCTCATGAGAAAAGGATGAGGAATACCATGAAATCATTCAAAATATCCAGCAAAGAATATTTCGCCCAAAAAATAGTAGTTTTCGACAGGTTCTATAATCTCGCCTAACCCTCAGTATGTTATTTAGTGTCCATCATAAATGTATATTTTTTGCTACACATTTGCTCGCAGCATTTTTAACATTTTTGAAAGTTGTGATATTTAAAATCTGAATTCATTTTCTTTGCGCGACAATTGATAGAAAACAAAATGTTTGAAACGTTCGGCTTCAAACCCGTTTAAATTACTTGATCATTTTAAATAATTGGATGTTCCCTCGTTAGAATGCAGTAACCTCGCGATTATATGTACAGAGAACGTATCAATTTTAATAAAGTAATTAATTTGTAATTCGGTAAGTAATAAAGTAATTGTAAGTAATAAAGATTAAGATGTAAAATAATTTATGTATTTGCATATATTCAGAAAATCAAAATTATCAAAAAATTCATTATTAAGATCGTAAACTTATTTAACATCAAAATTTATGTAATAAACATCTCACAAATTTAGATTTTACACATCAAGCATTCAAAGTTTAAACTAATAGGACTTAATAACTGTTACTTAATTATATATTCGCAATATTTAAAGCAAATATCCTTAGGGAAGTCGGCAATTAGCCTTTAATGTGCTACCGCCTCTGGCTTGGCTATGCATATTAATGGGTACTTTGGTCACCCCAGATAGTACATAAATAAATATATGCATTAAATTTAATTGAGGAGGTTTGACTATTAATTTCTATTATAGAGAATTACAATTATACCAATAAAATAATTAACTAGGGTCAATTACTAATTACTTTCTCGATTATTTCTTCGCTCACACCGCCAAACTTGAGAGTTTGCAGATAGTGTCATTTGCAAATTTGATACTAATTAAATTTGTCATCCATTGAAACCGGTTTGATCCAAATTTTTTTAGCATATATTAGGAAACCTCGCTTGTTGCTGAGCATACAGGTTTCCCATGACACGTCCAAAAGGTAAAATTTATCCAACCGTTGCACAGTGGGCCAGATTTGATTAATTTTGGCCGAAAATATATAGCAGCCGAATTTGAAGAAACAAGAATTAGATTTTGGTGTGCAACAATAAGCTAAGGCATATATTATGTGAGGAACTTTTTAATAGTCACATGCCACACCCCCAGTGGGTGTGGCCCTCGGCGACTTTTCGGTTTTAACGAAACCATGTCATATGATATATCATTTTTCTCAGCTCGACGAGGTGATTTCGACGGAATACCTAAACTTTGGAAACCCCACCCACAGTGGGCGTGGTTCTAAGCAAATTGTCGATCTTAACGAAACCGTATCATATGATATACCATTTTTCTCAGCTCGACAAGGGGGACTTGAGGGAATACCTAAAATTGGGAATCCACACCCCCAGTGGATGTGGTTCGCAGAAAATTTTCGATATTCTAATAAAACCATGCCATGTGATATATCATTTTTCTCTGCTCGACAAGGGGGACTTGACGGAATACCTAAAATTGGGAAACCACACCCCCAGTGGGCGTGGTTCCCAGAAAATGTTTTTCGATTTTAATTACACCATGCCATGTGTTATACCATTTTTCGCAGCTCAACAATTCGATTTCAACGGAATGCCTAAAATCAGCCTTCAGCGACTTTTCTATTGTAACTAAACCATGTCATGTCATGTAATACGTCATTCCTCTTAACTAAACGAAGGGATTTCGACAATATATATCAATTGCATTGCGCAAATTAAGAAAATCCCACTTTGAAAAATTGTTGGCACAAATTAATTGTAGGCCACAAATCTCACATTTGTCGCTGCATTTTTTAAAATTACGAAATAGCATACACACTGTGTATTACACAGTTTTAAATTTTTAGAAACGTATTTTTATAGTTGCATTTTTAGTAATTTTTAAGAAAAAATGTTTTTGTCCTTTCCTTTTTGATGTAGAGTTAAAATTATAAAACAATAAACTTTTTGACAAATTTAAATTTGAGAAGAAATGCACTCAAAATTGCCACAGCCGAAAACACTAGCGCTCATGGAAACAAAAAAATACAGGTGGTATTATTTCGGTGTGGGGAAAATTTAAAATCGTAGAACACAAGTTTAAGTCGCTGAACACCACACCAACTGGGGGCGTGGTTACAAAATTCTAAGAATTCTGTCGAGATCCCCTCGTCGAGTTGAGAAAAATTATATATCACATTACCTGGTCTCTTTAAAATTGACAATTTGCTTAGAGACACACCCACTGGGGGTGTGGTTCATAAATTTTAATTATTCTGTCGAGATCCCCTCGTCGAGCTGAGAAACGTGATACAAGAAAAGGGATGGTTTTATTAAAACCGAAAGTTTTCTTAGAATCATGCCCACTGGGGGTGCGGTTTCCCAATTTTAGGTATTTCTCATATTAAAAGTTTTAAAGATCCTTCTTGCCACACCCCCTGCGTGCGTGCTTTCGAAATTTCGATTTTCTTTATTTTTTTTGTTAACCTCTACTTACCGAGTCATATATGCCGCATGCTAGGATTTACTAACTTAATTTTGCTCCAATTGACCACACCCTCGTGGGGTGTGGCTCTCACGTTTAAAAATGTTACTTTTATTGTGATCGTCTTGGTCTACCGAGCAAAATGATATGTCGCATGCCAGGGTTTACCTATAATGGGGGGCACTTATAGCCCCACCCCCTAAGGGGGTGGTTTTTGGTTCTGGCTGGGTTGTCGATGGACTCTCTTATCGTCCCCATCAAATCGATATGTCGCATGATGATGTTTACCGCGAATGCAATTAAATGACATCAATTTAAGTCGTTACTTATTTCGTTGTGTATGTGACTTGGAAGGGGTGTGGTTGGACCTGTATTCGAAAGTGGCAATTTCCGGCACCAGCATTTATTCTCCACACCACAAGGTCTCGAATGGTATAGAAAGCAAGTTTGTAAAGCACGGAAATGGACGGAAATGCTAAAGGGCGTTTTTCCCTATCTCCGCAATGTGTTTGGTAAAGTTTACCCCCCTGGTACTCCGGAGTAGGTGAAACTTTTGACTTAATATTTTGCATTTAGGACAACATGGTAGTGTAGTCCATAATCGTATACGAGAGTAGCCAATTCAAAGTACTGCCTTAACGGCCACATTTTTGGTCCCCTGGCCCATAGTGCGTTGTGCAAAACTTGTCCAAAGTTGTGTAAAATTTGTCCCATGGGTGGATAAATGTTGGATAAGTTTAACCTTTTTTAACTAATTGCCCTAGTAGCTCAGAGGTCAGAGCACTTGACATGAATTAAAGGGAGCCGTGGTTCGATTCCCGGCTGGGTAACAATGTTTGGCATTATTCGGGATTTACGTATTTGATTTCTAAATTTAACCTTTTGGTTGCGTAGTCCTGTTTTATACTCAACCTTGAGGAAATTGTACACTCAAAACAAAACGGTGTCAATATATGACTCAATCGCCTTGGTTACAATTGTGATTCCGAGTAGTGATGAATTTTTTCCGTCCGGTCATAACATTATAACCGGTATCAAAATCATCATAACTCGGATTCAACATTGTAACCAAGGCGGTTAAGTTATATATTGACACCAGCGGTGTTGATTCGACAAATTTTTGTTTTGAGTGTATTTATTTATATTTAGAGTGTACATACATACTTTACAATCCAGAAAAGAACTAAGAAACCAAACAAGTTAAACTTGGGCTGTGTGTACCATGTATAACTTTGGGTTGGAAACAAGCGGTGGTAAATATTGTGAATAGTAAACAGTGTAAAAAACCTTAATATCATACTGACACATAGTTCAAGCAGACATTGCTTATCTAGCTTGCCACATTTTCTTGTAACGGATAAAACTCCAAGGAAAATAGCAAAAACTATAGCAGAGATTGTTGCAGGATAAACCTAAAAAATTTTAGCAATGCAATTTTTAATAATAAAAATTCTAACAGCGGGGACGCAAATTATGTTAAACCGGATTATTTTTTTACCATACCAGTTTGAAAGAGCAATTATTTATGAACATAGTTTAGTGAAGTGGTTGCGAACAATTTCGTAATTTTGGGCCCTGTACGCTCTTAAAACTACTGCCATAAGACCAGATTGCGCCGGAAACTCGATCATTTTCGCGAACTTGCGGCATTCAAAATTTGCGGAAGTCGTCTTCGCATCTTGGTAAATATTGACTTAAATGTTGTTGATGTTAAAAAATTAGCACATTTTTTCATCGCCACAAATTAGTGAACAATATCTATTTTCCGATCGGCAGCCTTCCTTCCCAAACGTGCAGCGCCCAGAATTTACTGAATTTTTCAATCTGCGCAAGCTATGAAATAAACGTTATTTCGAAAAAGTTACTAATATATCAAAAACATATTCTGAATTGAACATGGTTTGCGTCCCCATTGCAAACATGAAATTTGTCAAAAAAAATAACTCACGTAGTGCTTCGTGAATGTGGAAAAAGTTAGCCAAAAAAGTAATCCAGCGAAATCCGAGACAAGTACGCATTTTTTGTTTAATATCACCTTAATGGAAAACATATGTACACTTTTAGAAATTCAAGATTAAAATAGTACCAAACGGTATTCATATGTAACTCTACCAAGGTGGCATTGATAAGTAACACTGTGCAGTAATAGCTCGGTATTAAAGTTTTACCATACCAGTAGTAAATTTTCACGGACCGTTATAATTTTAATAAGAGGCGGTCAGCGGGAGTAACTTTAATACAGAAAATTATTGCGTGCGTGACTAGATTTCTAACAGTGTGGGAAAATTAGAGAAGAATTCTGAAAATTCTGACAAATATATTTTTGCGGGAAATTTACCAGTTGTAAACGAAGATAATCTGCACGTGTATATCCAGCCCGACCTGTGACAACACCGGTAATAAGGGATGTTGACAGCATGGTGACGGATGTCCAAAAAACGTAAGTTGCGCAGGCTAACCAGGGATCAAGCAAGGGTCCAAATAAAGGGTATAAATCTTGTGCAAAGTCTTGGCTGAAATTTACAACACATCTTCTTACAATGCGATGGTGTAAAGTGTAACCCTCCGATTTGGTTGAAATTTTAAAATGACGTGGTTCAAGTCAATACAACCTTATTTCTTAAGGCACTTTGCCTACAATATTTGGAATTTATTAAAATATTTGACGTAAAAGTTGAAAAATGGGCGATTCTTGCCAAGCGGAAGGAGCAAACCCTGCTCCCATTCCCTTCGACTAAACTATAGATCGCCCAATTTTCAAATTTTATCTAAAGTATTTCAACCAGTTCCGACCATTATTGTCCTCAAGAAACGTTGGTTGTATTGACATAGACCATAATTTTAAAATTTCAACCAATTCGGAGTGTTACACTTCACACCATCGTATTATCAGGTCACCCATCCGTACAGAGGTATAACCGCATATTTGGAAATTTAGGTAGAAGGATTTACTTGTGAAAAACATGGCCAAATTTTTCGAAATTTCGAAATTTCGAAATTTTCGAAATTGGAAGGAAGAAATGTTGATACATATACCTAATCGATAAGGCATTGAAACTTTTCTATCGTGGAAAATTTAATACGAGTTAAACTCAAAATTTCGAAGTTAGAACTTAATTAAAATTATTGAATTATTTTTTAAACAATATAGTTCCTTTTTAAAAAGTCCAATAGAAGTTGTTTTAAGAACATTTTGCAAAAGAACAAAACTAATCTTCAACTTACGTCTGATACAATTTAAAGATGTCATAATTCAACAACTTTACGTATACCCCAACCAATCCCAGCAGGACGAGTTGATTTAGCTGGAATTAAGTGTACTTATATTAATAACACTGGCAGCCTCAGGGGCCATCCATACATCAGAAATTCTCTATTTTTTCACCCACCCACCCAACGTATACATTAAGGGATAGGGAATTTTAACATGAGAAAGATATGTAGACCTTAGCCACCCAGCCATTAAAATGAGGACGCAATTTGTCAATGTTCCCCAACGTGTTCCATGTGTCATATAAAGAGTGTTGATTTAATCCGCCCTGATATGTTTTTGAGCTCAAACCATATTTAAGCCTAACTTTCAGACAGGATAATATTGTTTGAAATTTCACCACCCATGCCTGCCTAGAGAGAAGATAAGCTACATACTTATAATCTTGAGAATCGTAACATTCGCCAGAAGAACCTAACGTTTTGAGTTGCAAGTTTTCAATTATTCAAGGAAAATTGGGTCGATTAAATAAACTCCCTTTAGATCAACGCATATGATAGGAAATTTTTATTAAATACAGGGTGGTTCAAAAGTCACGCTACAAATTTTTCAGTAGGACACATTCGTAACTTTCCATTATATAGTTTTCCAAAATTTTGTCTCTTAAATTCAACATGATACCAGTGTTACACCAGTGTTGATAATAAAAATCTCAATCCCAATTCATGTAACGGACGGAAATTTAAGGACTTTTCCCTTTATAAAAATTTGTTATTAACATTTGAACCACCCTGTATATTGCAATGCAGTTATACAAATTTTCCGAATATTTACGTACCGCCTGATCAACCATACAGTCAAGAGTTCCCTGAGCAGGCCATGTTTGGTATTCGTAACATTGGTTTTCACCAGCCTCGCATGGATCGAAAATCTGCATTGAATTAAAAAAATTAAAACAAATATTTATACCCACAAAGGAAACTTCCCAGCCGTCTGTAGAAAATCCAGGGTTCCAACGAGGTATGATGCCCCAGGATTTTGGAGCATTGGAGCTTCTGGGAGACGCAGCTAACGAGGGAACCTCTTATAGTGCCCGGAGCTCCAAGCATATCCACTATATACATTACACGCAGTTTTCAATACTAGTCCTATGATGTGACAAAATCTCCGTGTCAAAATGACATTTGGTCAAGCGGTGACGATTTTAGTGACGCGCCGAACGGTCAATTTCTCTCATGATTTCAATAGCCCAGCTACTTTTCGCCACACGTGTCTCATCTTGCTACTGAATTCTCAACTAATTTACTCACTGAGCACACTGGTACTTAATTTAACTATATTTTTCAATATCATTACAATTTACTAAATATTTATAGCTTATCAATATTATTTTTGTGTTCGAATTTAAAAGTTACAAAATGTTCACGAGAACTTTTTGAAAAACAAATCCCTCTACTTGTTTAAATTCATAAGAAGTTGCAATATTTTTTCCGAATAGTTTTTAAACTCCAATATTTGAAAGGAAAAAAGCAATATTGAAAACTTGTCAATGGTAAATAAATTGTAATGATATTGTAAATATACATAGTAAATTAGATGCCAGTCTCATCGGTGAACAAATGAGTTGAGATTTCAGTGAGATGAGTGTGGAGCGTGTGGTGAAAAGGGTACTGCACTACTAAAAGCATGGCAACCGTGACCGTTCCGCGCGTCACTAAAGTCGTCACCCCGTGACCAAATGTCATTTTGACACGGAGATTTTGTCACATCATAGGACTAGTATTAAAAACTTCGTCAAATGTATATAGTGAATATGCTCGGAGCTCCGGGCACTATAAAAGGTACCCTCGTAAGCTCACTTCTCGTGATAGCTTTATCTAACAAGGGAACCTTAAGTACTGTCACCTGTCACCCCTCGATTTCCTTCCGAATAGCCTTAATCGACAGATAATTTAGTGTAATGAAAACTTTGTCATAGAATATGCAGTGCAAAATCACGATTTCGCGAAATATTTGGCAAAATCTAAACCAAAGAATTTTCTGCATATTGGATTTTTTTCGAAAATAACAAACTGCAAATTTTTCCTAATTAGGAAAAATATGAACAAATTTACAATTAATTACAAATTTTTTGAAATTTTTTAAAATTACAAATTTTTTCAAATTGCACATTTTTGCAAATTTCACGAATTTTTTGCTAAACTTTTGCAAGGAATTTCAAAATTGCAAGACAATTTTGAAAAATCGGTAAAATAGACTTATAGAGATCATTTTATTTATGTTTTCATAAAAATTATCAATTTCATTTGCTAAAAATTTTCGCAAGTTTTTTGCAATAAAATTGTCTATCTTATTGGTTGGGAAAAATTTATTACTTTAAAAATTTATTATTTAGTACTTTTTTCACAACAAAAAACAGTCATCCTTAAAAATTAAAGCACGTCGTTTCCTTTCGCTCAAAATTTTCGCCAATTTTTTGCATGCAGAAAAAAATCTCTTTTAGGAAAACTTTTGAATTATACTGGATTTAAAAAAGCAATTTAATTCAGTTTTTGGAAATTTTGCAGATTTTACAATTTTCAAAAAATTGTCAAATATTTGTATCACACTTTGCAGACTCATTATGATCAGCGAAATTACGTTTACGAACGTTCAGCGTATCAAAATTCTATAAACTTGATCTAATCAGTCCGAAGGCTATGTTAAAAGCATTGAAAAAATATGTACATACACGTTTTGGTTTAGATTTTGTCAAATATCCCGCAAATACGTGATGTTGAACCGCATGTTCTATGATAAAATATAGCGTCTTTGGTATGATAAATATCCTAGATTTGATAGGCACTTGGAAGCTTCGCTTGTGATATTATGTAAATACACATTGACATTGACATACCAAATTGCCACTCAAGGATGCTGGTGACAACGAAATGGTGTCTTTTCTCTCCCTTTCTCTCACAGATTGAATACGGCCTTCCGTAGAGATCGACCAAATGGGAACATTCTTGAGATAGATCTAAACAATTTAAGCGAATAAATATGTAATATGCTTTTTCGATCGTTACTATTTCTAATTTAACAATAGGGCACGTCCATATATTAGGTCATCGAAAAGCTGATTAGAGGGTGTCCAGAAAGTTTCTCCCTATGGATTTTCAGCCCGTTTTTTGTTGCTAGTTTTAACATTTTTGAGGTTTGTCGTGCAATTATTTTTCCAATACGATACCAAAGCCTTTTCCCATGCAAAAGGAATTGAGTATCCTAGCAGTATCCAATGAATGGGATGGATTTAAGTGAAAAAGCAAAAATCTGAAAGATGTTAGGATTGCGGAGTGATAAAAAATATTTTAAACCCAAACGCAGTTCAAATAGTTCGAGGACACTCTATCAATCAAAAAAATACTAACTTACATAAATAATTTGAAGAAAATCGCATAGTTTTCGTATGCAATCTGAACCAGCCTAAATCTCGCTAGGCTACACTTTCAGAAGAATGGTAGTAGTTTACTAACTACTTTTGGGACTAACCCAGCATGACAAAGAAGGGTTGTCAGACATACAAGGGTCAGTATAAAACGCTTTTTAGCCCACGTTGTATGAGTTAAACTTCGCAAAACTGGTTAAAAGCATAGATTTTCGACTATTTTGACCCCTGCGGAAGGCGACGATAAGCGCATATTCACAGATAAGAGCTAGATTTAATAGCATTCACAATTTAATCCACAAAATTCGTGATGTAGGAAGATAAATTTGAAGGGTGTGGCATCCATTACAAGGCCGAAACACGACTTTGAAATCCTGGTCCCAGGTTGATTTCGTAAGGGCCACGCATTTTGCACCACAGTTTTAAGGCATCAATGGTAAAAATGATGAAGAAGCCCGGATTACGCACACCATATTACGGTACTTTCAAAAAATATAGCAGTTTGAATAATTATATCTCCCTGTTTCTGTCAGGTAATAAAATTCATTAGTGGTTGATAGGGAGAAACTTTCTGGACACACTCTAAGTAATTTTCGGCCGCCTATCTTACTCGTGTTGAGCTTAACATGAGTAGTGAGTGGTGTTAAAATATGCGTTTAGTTAATTCCTTACTATATGGACGTTCCTTAATGTGCATTACCTTTTCAATCGGGCTTTTGGTCGTGTATTCCTTACTTGACCAGCGTGCCCGTGATGCATCCAAATAGTACCTCCGTTTTCGAGTAAACCTCCACCATTTTAGGCCTCTAGAATAATACGTGTTCCCCTATCGTGGAAATTTAAATAAATTAATTAAATTACCAATTAAAAAATGATGTATTATGGAACTTCCATGTATTTAGGTTTTGGGTCTCTTATCTTGTAGCACGTTTTGATCTTACAATGCGATGGTGTGAAGTGTAACCCTCTGATTTGGCTGAAATTTTGAAATTATGTGGGCCATGTCAATACAACCAACGTTTCTTCAGGCAGTTTCTGCGATGGTCAGAGTTTGCAAAAATATTTGAGGGCAAAGTAGAGATGTGCAGGGCAGGCATTTTTCATTGCCCGCCCTACCCTATACCCTTCAAACTTCAAAAACTTCTATAAACTTCAAAAATGGTCTAGTAATTTTGTAAATCAAAGTTAATTTCGTTACATTTCCACCGGATAAAAATGAAGTTCTTGGCTCTTGTACTCCTGTGGTTGAACAATTCTTATATCTATGGAATGTGACGCAAGCAATTTTGACAGTCTTTTTGCAACTTTCCAAATTTTGTGTCGCCACACCAGTAACAAATGTCAACATGGAGTAGTCAATCTCCATAGTATAATCAATTTTAATTACTTGTAACACAAGTGAATTAATAAAGCAGAAAGGTGACAAGATTGTTGCGCGTCTCATTTCTAATGGCCTACTCGATAGTTGACGAGCACATTGAGCACATAATTTCGAAATTTCAACCAAATCGGAGGATTACACTTCATACCATCGCATTGTTAGCATGAATAGGATAGGAAACGGGTGGGTGCGTGGTCTTAAAATCGTCGCTGTTTTGATAACGTAATATATAAACGTTCCCGAGTTCTAAATTATCTAGAGACAAATCGTCACCCGCGGAGTTACTATTAACTTTTGGTAATGATCAAGTCGACGGTTTGTCACCAGTTGAAACAGGTCCAAACTCGTGTCCAAAACCGACGTGATGGCGTAGTTAAAAAAATAAAAGTCTTATATTCAGATAATAAAAATGTCCGTTTTTTAAATAACGACGTCATAAGCTCGAATTTATTTTCACATTGGTGACAAAAGGTGGCTGGAAGCTTTACCAAAAAATCAGTAATGCCCCGAGAACCTAGCCGAGTCGGCGAGTATTTTCACTACTAAAACTCGGCCGAGTATTTTTTTCATTTTTTGAACACATATGTATGTAAAGCTGTCCAATGACACTGATTCACAAAAGTTTTGCATTTTGAATTAATCTCAAAAATTAACCTCGTACAGTTTTCTCTTACGATTCAAATATCTGCGCAAACTCAAAGTTTGGCACACAGTTTTTTACCACTAGGTGCATCTCTACCCAAAATTGAGAAATATTGCATCTCCGCGGGCTAAAATTTGTCTCCAAATTATTTAGAGTGAAGTATTCTACAAAAATGTATTTACTTTCATCACGGTTAGTGAGATTATGAGCCAAATAAGGATAAAATTTATTGCTTTGTTGATGATGTTAAGCTGACGTCTTGTTAACCCAGTTTGTTTCTCCACATTTCCAGAAATATATTCGATGTAGGGCGTAATTAATTCATAAGTGGGAGTGGCGCCTGTTAAATAATTTAAAAATGTACATGATTACAGAGGAAAATTAGTACTCTAAATAATTTGATAAAATGCATTACCAAGCGATGCCTACATACATACATATGTATCCATACGTAGCAGCTACCATGATACCAATAGTTGGTATAGACTGGTAATAAATTTGTTACTACATTAGCAATGAGTACATAAGTCCACCGAGCAAACAATGATTTGCAAATTTAAGGGGGGGGATGTTAATGAATAACATCCGTAATTGTGGAGCCATGTGAGTATATGCACATGGCGGCCATTTATTATCTAACCACACCCCAAACAATTTAGCATCATATTCTTAAATCCTTCACTGTGTTTTTTAGTACCTAAAGCCTGGTATTCAGTACGGGTTTATCGCACGAAAAGGTTTATCATGAATAATAATAAGAAACTTAACTGCATACTCGGACCAGAATTCTCCGTACAAGAGTTTGTCCTTTGAATTCTGGCGCCAAATTTTGCAGAGGTCAGTTCTGTTCATTGCTGCTGATTACTACTGTGCTTAATATTAATAGCATCTACAATTTGTAGACTACAAAGGTTTTCAAAAATATCAAGATTTGGTCAAATGCAAATTCAAATTTAATGGCAAATTCATAAACATGTCCGTAATTTTTCAGTTACACTTCTAAGAAAGCAACAACATGTGAGATTTTAAAATTCTGCGGAACTCTAGAGCAAAACGCCAGAAGGTTAACGACATAATTAAACGTTACAAGGATACTTGTAGTACTGATGACTAGAAGATATTCGGTCGACCTCGATCCGTTCGGACACCAGCCATGGTGAAAGCATGGAAAGTACGAATTAGACGAAATCCTCGTTTGGATCACACCCTAAATAAAATGTAAGCAAATTGCTACTGGGCGGTGTCTATAAATATATGACCTCACCGGTTTGGTAGCCATTTTCTACAGAACTGTAGTAAATTTGCTACCATATTTTGGCTAACCGTTACAGCAGGGTGAGGAAATGCTACAAGATGGTAACAAATTTACTACAATTGCGTAAAAAATCGCTACCAAATCGGTGAGGTCACATATTTATAGACCGCCCAGTAGCAATTTGCTTACTTTTTATTTACAGTGCAGAAGAAGTTGACACATAAATGAATGTATCCAAATCATCCATCATGAGGGCAATAAGGGATGACCTTAGGGTTAAGGAAATGCGATGGAGCAAATGCCCAAATGTCGATCAATTGCTCTCCGCGTTTAGTAACGAGACACTACTTCGAGCTGCGAGTAGGATTGTGCAATTCGTATTTTTCGAACTTTTTTAAGCGTCCGGGTTGCGGTAGATAGGGAAAATAGATATATTACGTGGTGATGGGATAATTCCTCCTCATCTGATCCCGCTAGTCTCCTCCCATGCGCATTTTCCTTCCCGCCCCATTCCGCAGAGGAAAATATACACGGGAGGAGACGAGCGGGAGGAATATCCTCCAATCATATTTCGTCATTATGTTAGTTGGTGGGTGCTTTACATCTACCTATCTTTTCCATGGCAAAATTCCCTATCCTTTAATGTTGGCTTTGGGTGGGTGGACTGAAATGGAGAATTCTTGATGACGTAGTATATGGATGACCCCACACTCTATTAAAGTCAGTTTATGTACATAGATGCAGCTACAATTTAGAACCGGCTAATACTGGACATTCTGCTAAATGTTTTTTCACGAAAAAAAAACAAATTTTATTTATAACCGCGGTTATAAATAATTTGATGCCAGGTATTAAACAAATCCCATAATTAGAATCGTGACTATTAAAATCTGAAAATAAGGGGCCCAGACCTGGCTGCAAATAGAGTACAGAGATTTACGGTATAAATTTTTGTGCGCGGATAGGAAGAATTTTTGAGGAGGTCAGATAATAAATGGCCACCATGTAGTTTACCATATGGTAATACATTTGTAAAGGACTATTAAGATTTGTATTTATATAAACACATAAAACTTGTTAACCCACCCATACACGCGAGTAAAAGTGAGATTGCGATTAGAAGAAAACACTTGCGAAATTCTTGATGATCCATTTGCTCGAGCTTGCCGAGAAGGAAGTGTTTCTCTTGGTTTTTACATAACTCGTCAAGAATGAATTTGTGATGATGGTGCACTTTTACGAAATCTTGCACGCTAACGAGGCCATGGTTGAACAACTCGTTTTCTCGTTGGACCTGGGCATGACGACACTTCTTATAAAATTCTGCATCCTAGAGATTAACAAATGGAGGGGAATAATGAACAGAGGTCAGGGTTCGGAAAACCCCAAGGGTTTTTTAGGGGTTATAGGGGTTTCTGTAGATTATGGGGCTGATTGAAACAAAATTCTTAACATTACATATTAAAGTAAAACTATTTCAAGATTCGCATTTAGCATAAAAATTTCAATATTTTCATTGACTTTGATTTATAAGTCAAAGGTTCATGTTCTACAACTTAATTAGAGATAAAACCAGGAATATCTGATGAAATAATACCTGGAAATTGAAGTCGCACATAAAAATGCTCAAAATTTCTTGCTGAATCCGAATTTAATCTACATTGATCAAAGTTGTTGTTTTATGAATCCTGTTTCAACCTGGCATAAAATCTTACAAAAACCCAGCAGAAACCCCAATAAGTACTGGAGTTTTCCGGAGTTTGATTTGATATCCCAAAAACACACCAAACCCCCAAAAAGTCCAGAGTTATCCTGCCGCTAAGTTTCCGAAATTAAATAACCTATGGTCAACCCACCCGTCAAAAGGAGGGTGTTAAGGAGTAAATCGCTTCTACTGAAACAAATTCCCAACTTTCACATTCGAAGTTATTCAGGCAAAATCATAAGATGCAAATTTTTTTCTCACTTCGCTTGCGTAAATTTTTCTGAAAAGTTTTTAGTGTGAACGTTATAAATTTATTAACTAGAAATGATCTACTCCTTAATACCTGCAATTTCATTGGTCAACTACGCGGTAGGTATGTATGGGTTACTGAAGAGATGTAAGAACTTCTAACCAGAACTTGTAAGTTAAAACAATATCAAACAAGGCAAAAACTGTAGGCAAATATGAATGGCTATGCAGCGGCCGCCGAAGCCTGGTGACAGAGGGACAATGTCGCCACGGACACATCAGTACGTCACCTGCTCATCATAATTAAATCCCTTCTTTCCTCCCATACTCTACAACGTTAATGCACCAAATGTCCCCACGGTTTCCGCGGCTACTGCAGTTATGCCTTTCTAAATTTTGTATAGTATACAAAACATATTATGTTTAAAAGCAAAAGTTTAATTGTGTATCGACATAATTTGAAACCATATTTATGTATGTACCTCCTGCCGGACTTGGTGAAGACGCAGCGTAATAAGTCGCCGGTTAAGGGATGCTGATGGCATTTCGTCACTACAGATACATAATCCACCACTACACTTTTAAAGTCCAGGAATGCACTCGTATTTACACTCTTAAAAACTGTATGTTACCACGTTTGAAAACTTAATTCATTACGAATTCTATATTAAGTAAACGATACAAAATTCGGTGCAAATCTTACTCTTAGTCAGGTTATCGCTGATCTAGACTTAGAATTAGTGTAGTTAGTTTACTCAATTTAGAATTTAGAGTGCAATTATTTTCGCATTTGGAAGATTATTTTTAAGAGTGTTATATATGTTTTGTATGCATGCAATTTCTATGCACATACATAGATACGAAATTAACTCAATTTAATCTCAGTTTAATGAACATTAATGCAATAATTTTCTATATCTCCACACTTTCTTTATTCACTTGTGTATGTAAACATGTATATGTCTCTACAATATGTATGTAAGTATGTTTTGATATTAAGTATTTATTTAGATTGTAACGCACTTTATTTCTATGTCAAATATATGTATTTGTGTCGGAACTCAGCTGCTCCGTATCATGGTGCACAAAAGTTTTGGGAAATATTTTTTTAGGGGAGAGACGATTAACAGTGGGGGCCGTTCATAAATTATTTAACTAAACAATCGCGATTTTCTAGACCCCTAACTTGGTCCCCCCTTGTGCTTGTGTCAGATTGACACGATATCATTTGAGCTTAGATCGTCACCTCCTCTTGCATTACATAATTTATGAACGGCCCCAGAGTGTGAAACACATTCACTTTCTCTTGGTATATACACGAATCGAATACTAAACTGTTCGTTAAGGGTCATAGATAATATATATGCATAGAATAGATCCAGCTACTTTAAAAAAAGCGTCACAGCATGGAAAATAATTTAGGGATTAAATATTTGGGGATAGCGCATGGTTAAACTGCACTACAGTTACTACAGTTAACTGTACAGCAGTAATGTTGGGAAACCCTGGGTTTATACATACGTAAATATTACCAGGGTTGGCCAAAATACTATTTGAATACAAAATACAAATTACAAAATACAAAATACTATTTTGTATTTTGTATTTTGAGGGCCATGGTTCAGATGAAAGTATTTTGTATTTTGTATTTTGAAGTTTGCCGGGTATTTTGTATTTTGTATTTTCTAATTTTTTCGTCGGTCAATGTATTTTAAATACAAAAATACTTTACAAAATACATTTGGCAAATATGAGACGAGCTCATGAGAAGAATAAGAGTTACTCCATGAGATATCTATTGCAAACCAATATTTACGGTTTCAGCTAAATAGGATCTCAGATCTTATCTATTATTTTCAGTTTCTGGACTCATGGCTGTGTCAGAAAACTACATAAAATATGTTATATTTATGCAGATGATTAATTTTTTATTTTTAAATTTCTCTCAAGTGTTATGATGGTTATTAAAACTTATTTTTACTTCCTACTCGACACTTTGTCGTACGAGAATGTCTTTTTTGTAGTGTGAGAAAGATTAAAATTACTTAGATTATGTTGGGCTTATAATCTTCGTATCATTTTTTAGATAACAAATGACCTCATGCATACTCAGAAAAATAATTACTAACTTCCAAATAATGCTGTGAAATAAAATGAGTTTGCAAAACTTTTGAAATTTGAGCTTGACTTGGATTTGCAGGGTCAAATCTGGCAGTAGTATTTTGTATTTTGAAATGTATTTTAAATACGTATTTTGTATTTTGTATTTTATATTTTTAGATTTCGGCGATTTTGGGGAAAAGTATTTTGTATTTTGACGAGATTCGAGTATTTTGTATTTTGTAATTGTATTTTGAAGGTTCACAACAATGTATTTTCATTTTGTATTTTGTATTTTAAAACCCATGTATTTTGCCCAACCCTGAATATTACACCTAATGTTTTTCTCGTTCGATGTCTACTTGCTGTGGGATTGTAAAAAAACTAAGGCTTTCCAATATCCGATTGAAATAAAAATTACATTTGTGAGTAAAATTTGTGAAAATTGAAAATTTAAGTCAAAACTTCAGCAAATCAAACTAAGGCAAGTTGAATTTAGATAATCGCAGGTTGAAAAATACTTTCATGGCATCATCTCAAAGTAATCAAATCAACGCAAACGAGCAAATACTGAATTAAGTAAATCAATTTTATCTTGGAGGTTGGATAGTTTTTAACGTCATTTCCTTAACGAGTAACGGGTACCCGTGCGGGTTCGGCCAGTTGGACTGCAGGTAGCGTGTCGGGTAACGGGTAGCATTTTTGCTACCCGCGGCAACCCTAATTTTTACCATTAGCAGATAACTTAAAAAAACGTTACTGATGATCACCAACATAGGACAACTGAAGAATTTGTACATAAAATGAATTGTCTGCAATTTAAGTTTCGTCTGATTTTAAAGCAAAGGATATTTTTATTAAATTGTGGAAAATTGTTTTACACAGTGGAAAAAGTCCACTATGTAAATACTTGACTACGTAATGTCTGACTATGAAAACCAAAAAAATGACTATGTGAAAAACAACTATCAAAAAGATACTCTATGAAATTTTAACTAAATATGTAAAACCGCACTGTGAAACGGTAACTACGAACAGTACAGGATTCGGATACCTCAGAGAAATCTTTTCTTGGCTGGATGGGAATGGCTCCGTCTTTCTTACGCCGAGTTCGAAGACGTAGATCTACTCATGAGAAATAATCAGAGGGCGGATATGCATGTACGTAAATTCCGCAAAATATGTATGCAATATGTGCTTAACAAACCTGGAAATATGCACAAAAAATATTTGTCAACTAGAATTTTCTACTTATATTTATGAAATATAATTTTGAGGAAACCGTAATATCTGAATTAAGAAAAATATTTTTCCATAAAAAACTTCGAAATATGTACTAACCTATTTACTATCTAGAGAAATATGAAGGATAATATGTGTATGTACGAAAAATCCTCAAAACATGTATGAAAATATGTAATATGTACGAAAACCCTAAAATATGTGAAATATAGAAAACTATGTTCGAATATTTGCGATCGTGCTTAGATGGGATGTCAGCATGCGAAGTTTTAGTACGATCTGAGTTCGTATGAAAAAGTTATAAATACATACATATCCGCCTTCTGGAAATAATACGCGACAACTACTTGAATCTGGGCTGGGGAACACAAAACGTAGCTTTATTTTATAACATGGCGATTACTTTTAGATTAACTTATATATCAACATTAAGATGAGCCATTGACTATTATAAAATATGGAAGAATGTTGTAAAGCCGACTACTTTATTCGAACGTAAATTTCCTCGGCTCGAATGGGTCTAAATTGTCTTCTTTTTCCTGGCTAAAAAATCCACTTAATTAATGCCACATCTCACATTCACTGGCTAAAACAGTGTCACAGGTTTGACATACGACTTTGCCATGCTTTAGTCACCCAAGTGTTTTTCAACCAATATAAATACATATACCTATATAAGAATTCGTATACATACAATGTTTCATAACCAATGTGATCGCCCATATGTACCAAATATCTTAAAATCATAGATTTGCATACATACATTTAAAACCTTAAAATTACCAGTTAAAATTAAATCATTAGTTACATAAATCAATAAAAGTATTCACGGCGACAGCACTTAATACATATTCATATATTGTAAAATGATACCATATTATAAGGAACGAGGATACAGACTGGGGACTTTGAGACATTGAGACAGAAATTACATTTACAGAATGAACGCTAGCTTGCATATATTTTCAAGCCTAAAAAAATTGCGTGGTTGAACCACGCAAATCCCCCGACGAGATGCCCCATTATCTAATTTGTCAAATATGTATGTACATATATTAATTGCTCATGAAACTATCATTAAGTTACTCATTTAATTATGTGATTAATAAAAGCTAGAAGCACTCACGGATCCATCTGTAGAAGCTTTTGTGGATTGAAAGATGAACAATGGGGTACAATCCAATAAAAAAAAGCAGACTTTGGAAATTTTTCCCTCGTTTCGTTTAAGTGGGTACTTAACTTCGATCATGAATTTGGTATTTCGAAATTGTGTATTATGAATTTTCAGAATTTTTTTTTACGTGTGGCACGGGTCATCTATGGGGGGTTTATTTTTCAGAAACTCGGAAAAAAGATTTATACAGAAATGACCTTCGCACCCTGCGGTCCGGTCGAGGCGTCATTTTAGACCCAATTTAGAAATCATGTAAAACGTTCAAGACGATGGTTTTCCCTGTGCACATATCCGATTTTGATGCCGTTTGGATATGTGGTGGCCATAGGGTCGTGAGTTATGAGCCTCGAAGGGCTTGACCCTATGAGGCAAATTACCCTCGTTACACCCCCTGATATGAGCAAAAACAGGTTATACTCTGTTTTCCGTTGTTTAAAAAAAATCACCAAAAATCCATTTCTGATTCGATTTTCGTATTTTATATATTAATTTGATCCTAAATACTTGCTCTATCATATCTGCTATTAAATTCAATTTTTTGAAGTTTCGAAATTTTCGAAAATGGGCCATTCATAAATTATGTTAGGCGAAAGTGGGGGGAAAGGTTCCAATGTGACAGCATTCCTATGTGACACATGTTAAAGAGGGATGGAGGGTAAAAAATCACGATTTTTGCCTCACATTATTTATGAACGGCCCCAAACTTTCGATATTTCGAAAAATTGAAGTGTTGACTTTGGCGTTGAAATTTAAAAAAACAACTAGTACATCGTAATATAATTCGTGCAAGAATATTTATCGGGTCCGTGAACGAGGTCCCACATCATGGCCTCCCTCGCAACGATCACACCTACAGAAATTAATTAAAAGTATGACAATTCGCCAAAAATTCAATTTTTAAAGGGGTTTGGTAATTTCATATTTTCTTGATGTATTTGGGTATGAAGGTCGTGGCCAGAGCCGTGCCGCGAAATTGTCAGGCCTGGTATGAGCTTAAGTGCCGGGCCCTTTCATAAGTTCAATATCTTCGATATTATGTTATCGTTTTCGCTCCAGAATATTAGAGCATTCTGGAACGAAGTAGATAATATTCTACGAGTATTAAGAGCACATTATTTTCCCAGTTCCATAGGAAAATGGTGACATTTACTTGCGCTTTTAACTCAGCCATATTTTTGAAAACATCGGCGGGACGGAGAAAAATCAATTATATGAACCTAAGTTTCATAAATATGCGAATATGACATACTTTTCGCTACTTCCCAAAGCTTCCTGAACCCTTTGCGATTAATTACTTTTCTATCCATTTTAAAAATTTGAAAAAGTGCCAGACTCATTTCGAATTGGCGAAAATGCAGGTCCCAAAACTCAATTCCTTTTAGTTCTTAGACCACTTATTGTATTATTTCTTGAATTCAGGACATATTCAAAAACATCCAGTATGGTGAAAACCCAACGGTTTAGCTGAAGATACTTTTAAAATTGTACCAAGCGGTAAGAATAAAAAAAATAATTGTAAGCATTTGGGCCTGAAGCAGTCAGACTAACAATTCGATGACGCCAGCGGTCTAACTCCGATTTTAACAAAACCACGATAATTATGGAACCTTAGACAAATACTTAATAGAAAACGTGTTTCAGGATTTTTCACAATGCTCAGTTTAAACGAAATTATAAAGGAATCCGTCAGAGACAATTTCCATTTTGACCGTGACATTTTCTCGCGAGGGAGAAAAATACAGATTCTGGCTTACGAATTCCATCATAATTTCGTTTAAACTTGAAACGCGTAGACCTAAAACGGTTTCCTCCGATTTTGACCCGACCACCTTTAAGTTACTCACACACTGAAACAACCCGACCCGTAATTTTCGTTTTCCTGAATGTTCGCGTTTTCGGGTGTGACAGAATTTTTCAATACATTTTCAGCCCATTCAGGATTTTTCAAAGTTGTTCATCTTGAATGTTTAACGCTATTTTAAAAGTGAAAGAACGTAGTGCTCAAAATTACTTCCATAAATTTACAAAAACTGTGTTTCCAAAAACTTTTCAAAATTTGTATACAATTTCGGGATTTTGAAAATATGCTCCAGACCAGAAAATCCTCAAACTCAAAGTTTTTGAAATGTAGAATTTTCTTAAACTTAATATAATTCTTTGCAAAAATGTTGTTTCATTTTTTAAATAGGGTCAAAATTTAAAAATTTTCATCACTTTGAAAAATCCAAATTTGGCTGAAAATGAAGTCAGCTTATTTCCTTGTGTGAGCAATTTAAAATTGGCCGCGTCAAAATTCGAGGAAACCAGTTCATGCCCACGCATTTTAAAGCGAAATTATGATGGAATTCGTAAGCCAGAATCTGTATTTTTCTCCCTAGCGAGAAAATGTTACGGTCAAAATGGAAATTCTTTCTCACCCATATAATTTCGTTCCTATTCCATATAATTTCGTTTATTGTATGAAACTTGTCATGTAAACTGTACTGGTAATCATCTTGCTATGTAACTTGAACAGAATGTTAAAACCTGTCAAATTGGTTAGTTATTTCCATGAATCGAAGTTCGTAATATTTGTTGTTTTTGAAAAATTGAAGTTTGATATGTAATTGTTTTACTGTTAAATGATGCAAAATTTTCTTGTCGTACTCTATCGGCCGCTTGGCCCGAAAGAGTGGTGAAATAAAGCAATACAATACAAAACTTATAATTTCGTTTAAACTGAACATTATGAAAAATCCTGAAACACGGTTTCTATTATTTGTAAAAGGCTCCATAATTGTCGTGGTTTTGTTAAAATCGGAGTGAGACCGCTGGCGTCATCGCATTGTAAGTTGAGAGTCAGTTAAGTTCATATTTACCTAAGTTTGTCCCTGGGTTAAGCTAAATTTGCCCCCTATCAAGGAACATTTGAGTTGCCACAAAGCATATTTTTGGTTTCAAGAAATTAGGTAATACATAGCATGCCCAGGCTACCTGTAAGTAGCTCTTAACTTTAAAACCGTTGGAGATAATAAAAATCTGATAGGTGCGTTGGATTCGTCGTGCGATTTTGCATAAAAACCACTAATCAATTTTTTAATTATTACAAAGCATATCGACAGGGAAAATATTAAAGGCACGCGGGCGGCGATAATTTTTCACCAAAAAAATGAGAGGAGAAATGGCGAATTTGAAAAGTGTGACAGGAATCGAACGTGCACTTTAATTTAGTCCAACGGACTATAAAAACGTTCGTGGGGACCAGGTCGACTAAGAACAGTCGCAGAACAATTTTTTGAAAACCTACAAGGACCACAACCATCGTGAAGGCGCTGAAGTTCAGAATCCGAAGAAATTCTAGAAATTCTACCGGAAAATAGCCTCACAGCTGACAGTGTCGATGCACTTTATCCATCGAGTGCTTAAATTAAACCTTGGACTTAGGGCTTTGAAATGTGGTACTTGTCGAATGCTGAACATCCCTCAAAAGAAAACCAGATTAAGTAACTGCAGGGCCGACTTGAAGCGGTACGCTCCAAAAAAGTGAAAACGATTCTGTTTACAGAGGAGGAGATTTTCATTGTGGAGGAATTTTTTAACAAACAAAAAGACCTTGTCGGCGCAGAATATGTCTAAGACATCCCCAAATATAGAAAAAAAGGTCAAAAGTTCACCACATCGAGGTCTTTTGATCATTTTGGCAGGTGAGAGCAAAATAGGGCAATTCCGCTACATTTTGTCAAAAATGGGGGGAAGGTGATGGAATCAAATTTCTTAAAATATGTTTTCGAGTCCGTGGTACATCCCCTAAATGAGATCGTATTCAATGGAGTCGACTGGACCTTCCAGCAGGACTCGGCACCAGCTTTTATTGCAAAAAATGGTGCAAGCGCGACCAAAAAACTAAATTCCGAACTTTATCTCCAATTCGGAATATCCATCATACTTCGTGTATTTCAATGCCAGAATTACGAAAGCTGGTCAAAGTTCGGGGCAAAGGTGTGTTCTAAGCCTCATATAAGTGTGGAAGTTCTAAAAAAATGGTTGACCACGGAATGAGACAATTTGTCGAGAATTCAGTGCGTGCTTTAATCAAGGGCTGGAAGCCGCGTCTTTAGCGCTGCATGAAATCGTGGGGAGGAAATTTAGAAAACTAAAAATTGTTTTCTACTCAAAAATTAACTGGCTTTCCAGTAAAATTTACTAGAAATTCATAGCATGAAAAATGTTGAAGCTACAGCGTTTCATTTCACTACCAGTTACGAAGGGCCACCCTGTAATGTAGTAACTCTTTACATACACAGAATTCCTCACAATCCCACAAAATAAGTATAATATGTAGCATTACATATGTCGAAATTGTAACTAAAAATGGGTAGCCATGAAGTGATCCTCTCCGATTTTTACCCTACAAGTCACAAATTTTAAATTGCTCAAGCTCAGAAATAAGTCGACCCATACTTTTAGGTTTTATTGAATGGGCTTAATTTCTTTTTTACTTAATTTCTGAATTAAGTTTCAGCTAAAATCATAATTTAGCATATTAATTAAAATTCGAAAATCAAATATTAAAATTAAAATTATAAGTACGTTAGCTCTAAATTCATACAAAAGTGGAAGCCAATGAAATTCATACACAAATAATTGAACTTGAAAAACAAATAAGATCTAGCAGTTTTGTGTTAGATGTAAGAAAATTTATTTGCGTGGAATACTTTTTTGTAAAATCTTCAATGCTCAAGAAAGTCCATTATATCTAGTGTAAAGGTAGCGACCTGGCCCGGGCCCTCGCGGGCCCCGGGCCTGGTATTTTGTACCACCATATACCACGGTTGGTACGGTACTGGTCGTGGCTGAAATTATTGCAGAATATTTTTGATAAATGTTAAAACAACTTACTAAACTAAATTTCCAAGTCCAATAAGGGCAGCAGATTGGAGGAGCTACTGGGTTGGCTACACAGGAAGTTCTCCGAGGACGCGACACGTTCTGTAATAAATATTGCGAGTTTGCCAATTAATATTTACATTTTATCCACATGTATAACTCAATTTTACTTTGTGTTCCGAATCGTTTATTAATTTCATTTTGATTCCCTAATTAAACTCGAATATTAGTCTGGTAAATTTACTGTGAAACAGAGTGTTGAAAGTATGAGGCTAATATATAAATTGCACGATCCATTTAAAACGACACCCTATTTATGGTGCACTTTGACCTTTGACATATCTCCCCCATACCAATGTCGAGGGGGGTCTGTTTTGAATTAAAAGTGAGAATACATTAGTTCCAGTTGTAAAGATCTACAACATATAAAAAATTCGGGGGAATTGAACTGATAAACATTTTCGCATATTATGACCCTTCAAGCGCCCTTGAGAGGTCAGTAGTTGACAGCAGAGTCCAAGTGTGATACTCATTTTTATTCCTAAGGCTAGCATCTACTCAAAAATATATGACTTTTGGCGTGTCGATAGGGAACGATAGTGTGACTTTTGACCTTGATTTGTGTGACTTTAGGGATCTGGGCTATGTCAATTCGTCTAAAGATCGTCAAAATATAAAGAAATGTAAAGAAATTTGAGGGTAGGAAGGTTTCCCGTAAAAATAAGATTTTTATTTTGTGCACAATATCGTAATTCGTCCAAAATTTACGCAATTTTGGCTTGACACCCTGTTTTTGGTCATGAAATATGTGGTTCGAAATTACGTGTAAAGATTTTTTCAAATTTTTTTCAGCGTGGGCTTTCCTAAATACTTGTAGGGTTTATATTTAAATAAGGCTTTAGTAATTTTTAACCGGAAATGACCTCTGCATTATGTGGATGGACATAAGCGTGCTTTTAGGTCTCATCTCGTAATTCCAGGGGACATGTCGCGGGACGGTGTTCCCCCCGTCATTGACGGATCTGGATGCTCTTTGGATATGTTGTAGTACTAATGTGGTACTTGAATCGTGTGGGAGGGTTTGGCCATATGAGGTCATTTGAACCCGGCACACCCCCCGCTTAGGGCAAAAAAACGGAAGGTCTCAGTTTTCCATCGTTTAAAATATCAATAAAAATACATTTCTGTTAATGGAGGTTAATAACCTCCCTAACCCCCAACTTATTTTGATCCCATGACCCCAACCACACCCACTCAGACATGAAAAGACGAAAACTTGAGTTAAAAATTCGCAAACAATTCTAATTTCCATTTGATCCTGTCAAATTTTGTATTTTCTTGGAACGAGAGAGCCATTTCATCACCCGTCTCAGCAAACCGAGTGTTTTTGAGACATGCAAAAAATATTTTCATGCATTTCTGGTCGTGGAAGAAAATAAAATAAAATAAATTGAATTGGATGTTGCCTCTGAGAAGTAGACTACCTATCTGGAAATTCGTTACTGATATTTTGCTGGATTTTTTAAGGACAATTGAAATTTTAGTGAAGGGATTACCGAGCGTAAACTGATCTTTTGCCAAAAACTAAATCCGGGAGGCCAAGGGCCCTCCAAAATCATGGTATCATCCGGGCAAATGGGGTCAGCAAACTGTTCCGAAAATTATTTAAAACTCCTAATTGTTCAGAACACTCTAACTATCTCGAGATGGGTTAATAACGCAAAAGTGATCGATTCTCAGAACATGTTACAGGTTCCCGGAAATTTGACGAAGAAAAATGTGGCATTGCCAAACTAAATATGTAATCATTTAATCTCATCAAATCTAACCGAGACAGAAGCCGTAGGGACATTAACATATTTGGATAGAAGAGCGACAGGTTTATAAAATCGGCATAAAAGTGGGGACATATAAACACACTCGGATCCGGGGACTACTGTGTATGTATATACATATATGTGACCATAATTTCGTAAATTATGAATTAAAAAATATTCATTGCAAACTTACTTAAAGGAATTTCGACGTGGCGAGACAACTACAAACAAATAGAAAAATACATCACATAAATAATATTAGACATTTGACATTACATATTTACATTTTCATTTTCAAGCATAAGCAAAAAAAAGCACGTATCATACTAATTAATATGATGTTTTGGTATGACAATGCAATTTGATGATGTATGTATGCAAAATGCGAAATCGTAGAAATACGCCAATGTATGCGAAAGATGTAGAAAGATAAAGGAAGAAAGATAGGAAAATTCAGAGTTAGAAATGTGACGGGGGTATATGCAGTATGTATGAAATATGCAATATTTATGAATTATGAGGCAGGTGGCTAACTCCGAACCGACGGATTGTTACGCCCACCTGAACTGTTTGAACTCTAACCCAAAATCTGTCGTTATTTCGATGTTGTGTTGTCCTTCTTCAATCATTTTTTAAAAATAAATTTTCGTAGAAATCTTTAAATCTGCCTTCTCTGAGATGTCCGCCAGTGCCCGACTCCTGCGCAACCACTGTGCCCAGATTCTGAATCTTTAAGTAAAGTACTAACAGCGGGTTCATTGCTGGCCTTCCCTAAGAAGGTCAAAGTCCAATAGGGCTGTCAAGTCCAAAGACTGATGGCCAAGGGACGACCTTCAAACTTTCAGCCAGCAACATACTAGGCTGCGTTCCCTTAACAGTTGAACTGTAATTTAAGGATGCACCTCGATAGGGTGCAATACCACGTAGCGTTGTTTTCAGCAACCAGGTAGGTTGAAACCACTGAAATGACATGAATGCCCATTTTACGTACCTTTACTCTTACTGCACAAATCCGGAATCCAAACTGACCTGTAAAAATAATCATTAAATCAAGATTCAATTAGAAATATGTATGTACGTTGATTTCATGGTTTTTTTCGAATTTTGAAAAGTTTATGAGAAGTAAATTTTTCTTAAATGTACATAGTTCTGAGCAAATATGCTGTTCCATTATTTTTCAAGATTGAAAAATGTACAGCATTTTGAAAAATCCTGATTTTATTTGAAAATATTTGGAAAAATTTCGCTACATGAGAAAGGAAAACGCAAAAATATTGGTGCGCTTATTTTCTACGTATATGTATCTATGCATCATTCATGTAATCTTTATATTTGGGATCTTGCACAAGTATGAAGTACTACTTTTTGGGCTTATCTCATGTGGTTATCTGCTTTTACTTGCCGTAACGTCTTCGTGTGGCATTTTATTAATTACAAAGCTGAAGAAGGAAAAAAAGCTCACAATCAATCAATCTCAATCCAGACATTTCAGCAATTCTAAACTGTGTACAATTTTTGCAAACTTACAAAAATCGGCGTTGAATTGTCTCACAAAAAAAACTGTGATACGAAAAAAAATGCTGTGTAAAGTCTTCAAGTTAAACAAAACATAAGTGCTTATCGAATCTCGTTAACTTATTATATGAGGAGATGCCCAATACCAAACCAAAATAGTAAATATGTACGAAAAAATCAGTGAAATTAAGAAGTCTGGTAAAATAAAAATAAAAATATTGTGGAAAATTAATTTTCTGAGTTTCATATTTATGTAGGTATTTATGTAGGCTGTGCAAATTCTATAAAGTAGTTTTCTAAGAATGCCAGAATCAATATTTTCTAAGAATGCATTTTCTAATTTTGCCAGGTTTATAAAATTTCCATGCAAAATTCCCCCCCCCCTTTCGCTTAACATAATTTATGAACAACCCCTTAATTGTGGGGGTGGCAATTTGCAGTACAAATTGATAACATAAATTTGCACAACCTAACAATTTTCCAGAAAAGGTGTGTGTATTAAATACCATACAATATCACAGTTAAATGAACCTAAAATGTATAATTTTAACCAAGACACCCCACTTTCGGTGAAGAAGTAAGAAATTTAAAATTTTGTGTGGGAATTTTCGAATTTTTTTTTCAGGGTGGGCTTCCCTACATACCCGTAGAGTTTATATTTTAGTAAGTCGGTCAAAATTTTGGACCGGAAGTGACCTCTGCGTTATGCTTAAGTGTCAAAGCGTGGTTTGAGATGTCGTCTCGTAATTCGAGATGACATATCGCATGATGGCTTTTCCTCTGTGATGCACCGATTTGAATGCCCTTTGGACATATCGTAGTACGAGGGGGGTACTAGACTTGTGTATGGGGGTGTGACCCTATGAAGCCATTTGGGCCCGACGCAGCCCCCGATACGGGCGAAAAATTGAAAATTTTGGTTTTAGTTTGCTTAAAAAATCACTAAAAATCCAATTTTTCTCCGATGTAAATAGTTTTTGCATTTTATTGATCCTACATAGATTCTGAATTATATTTGGTGTTAAATTCAATTAAATTTTAAATTTTCCAAAATTTTGTGTAATTTAGAAAAATTCGAAATTTCCAAGCCTTTCTTTTAATATTGGGTAAAAGATAGCAACTATTGCCTGGGAATATAATAATTCAATAATAAAATATGCATCGTACACACATGTGCACATGGTTTGACATTGTAACCCCATTTCGCGACTGCCACGCCCACTTAAGTAGTAAAAACCTGGTTTAAATCTTGCAAAAAAATCAGTTTTGATCGGATTTTGGTAATTTTTACATTTTCTTGAAACGAGCAAGGGAAACAACCTCGCGCACGTGGTTAGGGGAAGGAATTTGAGTTTTGAGATAATGGTATATTTATAATTTACGAAATTGTGAAAATTTTGCGAAATTAATTGATTTAGAAGAATTGAGATTTGACAAGATATTGGCTAAATAAATTATATTTGCATAAATATGTATGTACATGAAAACACCGATTCCGAGTGGTAGTTGCTTGCAGAGTATTATTCATTAATAGATAGAAAATAACTTACGAGGATATGAGCCTGCACCTATCGGGACCCAACCTGGGAAAGTGGACTAGAATGATACGCCCTGTAACATTGTGAGAATGCCAATTGTTTTTTACATTTTATGCATCCCTGCTCAAAAAACTTTCTTCATTCAAAGTTCAGTCATCCTTATTTCTGACTGAAGATTTTCATTAACAATCACTCATTTTCTTTCAAACTCATTTCATTTCACTTCATCTGACTTCATTTCTTACTTCGCCCTATGTATTAAGCATAGGGTGAAAATTGAAATGAGTGAAAATTTTTTTCATTCACAGTCATTCATCTGAAATGACGGAATCTTTCACACATTTTCATTTAAATCAAAGAAAATTCATTTTCATTCGCTATCATTCTCTATAATAATCAGTCACATGAATGAAAGTGAACAGGTATGCATGCAGCATGAGAAATACATAAATATGCAAGTGCAAACTATTGTATCTTTTCATTTTTAAATTGAAAATTTCAATTGGATCATCCCAAAATGGAAATTGAGGATAAAACTAGTAATATTTTGTATCCAGAAAAAAATGTTTCAAGTATTTGGAAATATAATTCTACTAACAATAAATACTCCATTTATGAGAAACGATGACCTTTGACCTGCCAACATTTCGACCTCAACAACAAAGTGAAATTTAACTAAATTGTTCAATTACTAAGTATCTACTACATAAATATGCATAAAATATTGTGAAAAATCAAAGCGACAAGTATTTTTCTATACTAACAATTTTCAAAATTCGAATTCAAAATTGACCTGCATTGAAAGGTCAATAGTTGACCATAACTATGCTACATATCATTTCTCCTTATGCCATCAGCTTTCCAAAAATATACGACTTGCAGGCGGTCGAGAGGGGACGGTTTGGTGACCTTTGACCTCAAACAAGGTCACTTCAGGGGTCGGATCCTATGCAACGTTTGGTCAGACGTCGAAATGCACAACATATCAAAAAATTTAGGAAATCTCACAAATAGACCATTTTCCAGAAAAGGTATGCCACAATATGCATAGAATTACCATATAATAATACTCCAATTTCGGTGATGAAGTAGGTCATTTGAAATTTGGTATGAGAAAATTTCCAACTTTTTTTCAACCCTGCGGACTCTCAAGTTATGGGGAGTCTAATTTTCAGAAACTCGGTCCCCAAATATGACCGGAAATGACATTCGTTTCCTGCGGAAAGTTCGAAGCGTCATTTTGGGACTAATTTAAATCTGGGGTCAAACGCTTCGAACGATGTTTTTTCCTGTGGGCGTGACGGATTTAGGTGTCCTTTGGATATGTGGTCGGACTAGGTCCGTGCCGTATGAGCGCGGCAGGATTTTACCGTGCGACCCAATTTCCGCTGGTTACACCCCCTGACTCGAGCGAAAAAGAGTGAACCCCAGTTTTCCCTCGTTTAAAAAATCACTAAAAATCCATTTTTGATCGGATTTTGAAATATTTTGCCTTTTGTTGATTCTACATAGTTTGTTATGTTATCATGTTTGATATCAAACTTAATTTTGGAAGTTTAAAAAAATAGTGCGACCTTCAGAAAAATTGGAAGTTTCAATGCGTTATTTTTGATATTGGATATAATAAAGCTACTTGGCCCTGGGAACAAAATAGGGCAATAATATAATGCATGCATGTGACCTGGTTTGACCTCACATCCCATTCGCGGCGGCCACGCCCACATAAAGTAGTAAAAACCTCGTAAACGCTGGCTCAAATCTACCAAAAATTCAGATTTGATCGGATTTTGATAATTGTTACATTTTTTAAACGGGGAAGTGAACTACGACCTGCGGCAAGATAGACACGACTGCGAGAAGGAGTTTGACTTGATAAAATCCTAAGGAATTTCCGAAATTGTAAGGATGTGGCGAAATTAATTGATGAGAATCTAAGTTTGACGTATGTATGGGTAGATTTCGATGGCTTAATAAAATAAATGGTTGTATCATACAACTTGTATGTTTTGGCTGAAGTGGTTTGCAGAGTATTTTAAATAGATACAAAATAACTTACTTTTTCTACTAAAAGGAGTGAGATAGCCTTTACGGAAACGAAACTGCCTTTGTAGATATTCGCTCTGTAATATAGAGAGAATGACAATTAGTTCGCAGTACATATGTACAGTTTATGCATGCACGTTCATTTTACTCTACGCTAAGAAGAATTTAATAATTTATTTATGGTTTTATGGAGCGTGGGAGTATCATAGTGCGATAATACATACAATAAATATATGCATGTGCACGTGGTTCTCCCGGCGGTCATGCGCATATATGTAAAGCGTCGTAAAATCTGGGTAAAATCTCAAAAATCTAGCGTTGATCTGATTTTGAGCATTTTTACATTTTATTGAGACGGAAGTCAAACGAAGCATTGCAAACGTGAGACATGCCTAGGAGAACGAGGTAGAGTTGCGATAAGGGTATATAATTTACGAGATTGTGGAAATTTTGCGAAATTAATTCAGGAGAATTGAGAGTTGGTAAGACATGGGCTAAATAAAACATATGTACAGATATGAAAATAGCAAGTCGTGGCTGGAGTTCCAGGAGAGTAGAGTATTTTTGATCAATAGAAAAAAACTTACTTTAATACCAGGTATGTACGAGAGTGGGCCTGACCAAGTGGGAGTTAAAGCAAGCCTTCGTAACAATGATATGGCCTTACACGACCTGTAATATTGTGAGAATGCCGCTTAATTACTATAATTTCTGCATGCAACTTCATTTTATATGATTTTTTAAGGTCAATAGTTCATCGCATATCACAAGTGTGCTATTTATTATTTTTCCTAATGCCGTCAGGTTTCCAAAAATATACGACATGCAAGAGGGAGCGATTTGGTGACCTTTGACCTCAAACCAGGTCATTTCTAGGGTCGTATCCTATGCACGTTTTGTTCAGACGTCGAAATGCAGAACATACAAAAAAAAATGCAAAAAAGTCTCACAGGCGAAAAATTTCCCATTGTATGTATAATATAACATGCATACCACGTACATATATAGAATACCATACAATATCCCAATTTTGGTGATGGAGTAGGTCATTTTAAATTTGTTGTGAGGAATTTTCCAACTTTTCTTCAACGCTGAGAAATCTAAACGTATGGGGAAAAGTTTTTTTGCCTTTTATTGATCCCACATAGTTAGCTAATCATGCTAATAACAAATTTGATTTTGGAACTTCGAATTTTGTTTCAAATTTTGTGCCCTTCAGAAAAATTCGAAATTTCAAGACGTTATTTTTGATATTACATACAAAAAAGAAAATTATACCTGGGAATATAATATAATACATAAATCTACACATGGTTTGACCCACTCGCGGCGGCCACGCCCACATAAAGTTGTGAAAGCATTCTGGTTAAAATCTCACAAAAACTCTATTTTTGATCGGATTTTGATAATTTTTACATTTCTTGAAACGGAGAAGTCAAATGAAGCCTTGCACAAGTGAGACATGCTTAAGAGGAGGAGTTTGAGTTCTGATAATCGTATGTACGCAATTTACGAAATTGTGAAAATTTTGCGAAACTAATTTGGAAGAATTGACATTTGTCAAGATATGGGTAGATAAACATGGCATTAAAATACACATAGGTATGTTAGTACATGGAAATAATAAGTCGTGGCTGAAGTTGGTTCGTTGATGGCAGACAATTTTTTTATGAATAGAAAGCAACTTACTTTAAGTACGTAGATGTGAGTAGTCCAGATGGTCGCCAAACAAACTCCCAAAGGGATCCTCCAAAGGACAGGAATATGACGCAAGTCCTGCAATATTTCGAGAATGCCAATTACTTTTTACACTTATGCGTACAACTTAATTTTGCTTGGAAGAATTTCTTAATGATTTCTATATATATATGACGATCTCCACCATCTATCGGCGGTAAAAAACGTCTCATTTTATTTTCCGGTGTTTTAGCTCAAAAACCTGTTCACCGGGTTTGAACTATTCGATCTAGTCAGTTTTTAGAATTTCCATGACCCCCTAGGTGTAATTGCATGGGTGAAAGCACTACCTTTTCGACAAAACTTGTCAACTTTCTCCCTTCATTGTGAAGCAACCAGTAGGCCCAGTGCGGGCAAACTTCGTACGAACAATCCCTCGGGCATGCTTTAGGGTCGTTCGGAAGCGCTAGGCTCTACCTGTACTCCTTGACCTCAAAATGACATTAGGTCAAGTTACAAAGTTGGCTCATTCATCACCATTTTTTAAATAGCTCGCATTTCAACAATCCTAGATGGATGTTCTTTATATTTGGTGAAAACTGATCTGAATGAGATGGGTTTTCAGAATCATTAAGAATTTTGAATTTTGTCCAAGGTCAAACAATTTTTACTCACTCACGGAAAAGGTCACGAGGTCAAGTCTCACATAGCCCCCTATGTGTGGTATCGTTGGAAAGGTCTTGGCGGGAGGATTAAGAATATATATACTTTATGGGCACTGGCACCACCCCCTGACCTTTAAGGAGCCAGTAAGTATTATTGACTTTTAGTTTTCCATGTATGCGGGCGTTAACATAGGAGCAGATTGAGAGCTAGCACAGCAGTTGGATTGGCGAAAACTCAATAATATTTACTGGCTCCTTAAAGGTCAGGGGGTGGTGCCAGTGCCCATAAAGTATATATATTCTTAATCCTCCCGCCAAGACCTTTCCAACGATACCCTCTGCAACAAAACTTAGTCCGATTGATATCATATGGATATGAAAGGAGAGACCTCGGTATGTCCGTCAGACATCAGTCTATGTCCACAGTGTGTCATTCAACTTCCCGTCTGTGTCGCTATTCCGCTGTTTTTGACATCGTAGTGATGTTCGTTTAGATATCTTGGGAGACTCAGTATTTGACATGATTACGATATATAAAGAATATCCCTTTAATATCCAAGGTACATCGCAACATGATGTAAACAAGATACGAGCTGGACCTACATATATATATACTATTTAGGTTTATTATTTATTATTCAAACAAATTGTCTTATTAAACATGGTCCCTTTACAAATACATTTGAAAATAAAATAAACGATTTAACTGTGACATTAAAGTTACAATTTCTAAGGCTGCGTAGACTTGGCCTTAACCTTCAGTCTGTCCGAGGCGTGTTGAAACCATGTAATCATTGCCTTATTGACTTCTTTCTCAGTAATGTTTCCCCTCGCAGTAATCAAATCTGAGTAAAAAAGGATGACAGTTATTGACATATTAACAAACATGCTAATCATTTATCCAAAGATTTTACCAAGCATGATGGAGTAACAATTAGTGGAAGAGTAGTTGTGATTTCCTTTCAGTCCTTTGAAACTCACACTGATCGCAAGCTTATCGTCCATAATTTTTTTCAACATGCTACCTACAATTTCGCCAACCTTCGTCGCTCCACCACGAGCAAAATAGCGTTGCTAGAAAATAATAATTTGATTAATTTTTGAATTAATTACATGCTTGGGTAACATATGCATGCATGTATGTATATACCAGTTTAGCCTTTGCCTCATTATTCTCTTCCAAAGAGTCATCAAAGGTTTTAAATTCGTTCCAGGTGCAGAATGATTTTGTCAGAATGGGTGGTCCCTTGTCCTTCGCTACAAGTTGTTCCTTTGCCATATTATCAAGCTTATTGCTTATATTATTAAGGGTGTGCTTTATAATTGACACATCCTGCAAAAGTTTATCCCATTGTTCTGAAACCAAAAACATATTTATCACCATCCAAGTTAGGCAAATATGAAATTCCGTGCATACATACCTTTCGGAATGTTAGTAACAAACATTGGAGTTGATGATCCTGTCAAAGTCCATTCCAGAGGATTTGTATCGCCTGGCGCTTCAGAGTATTCCACATTTATTTGAGCGACAGAGTTCTTATCTCCAATTTCTACAATACAACCGAATGAATTCAATTTCGTATTATAATTAACTACCCTGATGTATTTGTATTGTAAATTTCATTCGCCCAACCTGCAATGGTATTATTTCTGGATTCGAGGTTGGAACTAGTCGCGAATTGGACGTCGTCGTTATTCGCATCTAACATTTCATTGTCATTATCTGACTCACTTGTTCCAAAATTGGCAGATCCGAATCGCAAATCTGTAACACGATTGTTAAGAGCTCACCAACGGGTCCAAGTGTAGGCATTTTATCAAAGGAAAAGCTTGACGGCCCCCCTGCGACTGGATCCGAAATTCGTTCGGCGTGTCCTGTAAGAAAATATATAACACATTGCGATGTATAAACCACAATTCCAACAAACAACACCACACCTTTTTCAATTATTATTGAAGTGTCACTCTCAGAGCCTGCATCTTCTCCGGCATCGTCGATCGGAACGCTCTGGGTCGTCCTAACTCTGAACCGGTTATCATGGACCCCGTCCCCTTCACAACTGGACAGGTCAGAAGTCAGCTCAGATTGTGGCAACTTTACTCGTGCTTCTTCGTATGTTTCTGTAATTATTTTACAAAAATTTGGAATCGAAAATTTGAATTAAAAGTTGAGATTTCATAAATTTCCTCACCGAATGCATGTAAAATTCTGGCTTCGTATCTCTTAAATGTTGGCTTCGGATCCTTCCCTGATTTTACGATGGTGGCAACATTTTTTCCTGAAGGCCATGCGCACGTTGCATTTTCATAGTACGATTTTGGGACAACAGCGACTTCTTTTTTTCCAGCGTCGTTAGTTTCCACAATGTAAAACATTTTACAGCTGATGAATTAGTGGAAATACTGCAATATAACCTGGCGAAGACGGAAAAACAACACACTTTAAACAAGACGCACAAGCTGGGATTTTAATTGTATCGTAAGAATTTTCGCGAACGCGAAATATATCCACCGCCTTAGAACTGCAGGGGTGAGAAAATAACGATTCTAGTCTATAATATTGCCGACCGTAGAATATAATAGAACCACTCGTCTTGTCTACAAGAATATTTAAAACACGAAATAGCAGTTTCCTCTTTGTTAGTATGTATGTATCACGTTCCAAGCCGCAATTTATTTTGAACTTTTCTGTTGAAAATATTCTGAATTGATTAATGTAGTCAATATCTTCTTCCCTAATTGGGCCACGAGAATGAGGAGCTGAAGGGCCAAACTCGATTGAATTTGAATTTTCTAGCAGAAGACCTTTTTCGAGCAATCTATATTTAAGTTGCTCAAGAGGTTTGTAGGGCGATCTGATTAATTTTCTCAGCTTCCCTAGTTTATTTTCAAACTTGAAAGCACTAAATCCGTCAAGGACACCGAGCCTTTCCGAATCCGCTGCCAAGTGTAGCAATACGTGGACGTTATATGATACTCGATCCTCGCCGTATAATGTTTTAAATCCTTCGACAAAGTAGAGAAGAAGTGAATTTGCATAACTATTTAGTGATAAATGATGGATTTCCGAACAAAGAATTCTCGTTGCGAGTGATAGACTCAGGAACAAATTAAAATTTTCGGAAAACAAAATGTTTTTTAGAATAACTGCGCCGGCGTAAAGCAGGAAAAATCTGAGTTCTGTGGCTTTCCAGCGGTCGATCTCATTAAGCGACCTGGGTTGTCTTGAGAATTCGGTAGGTGTGAAAAGCCGAAATTCAATTAATTTTTCAGATATCTGACATTGTTGATGAATAGATAGTTTATATTGTGCTCGTTTCTTAGTTGTCCACATCTTTAGTAATTTTCTGGTAACACCAAGACAGATTAGATGCATATAATCCGTAGGGAAGGCATTTATCATGTCCAAGCCTGGAATTTAAGTTAGGCTGGTTGATGAGATATGATGTTCTGGTTGCAGATTTGATCTAAACCCAAGGTTAGTTCTGGCAGTGCTAGTCGAATTAGAATCTACAATGTCGTAATAGCTCATTCGTCTGCTTATGCTTTTTCCTTTTATATCACATTTATCACATCCAAAGAATCCATTATGTCCTTTAATTCCTAGTAAAAAAGCTTTGGCTGGCGCATCGCAAACAAAACTTTGAACGCTAATTCCTAACTGTCGAGAACTATTTATATCTTGTACCAAATTTTGTACATATTGGCTCACACTACTTGGCTTCTCCGGCCCACAATAAGCCCCAATCACAAATGGTTGGAATTCCAACCCACAAAAATACCCCAAAATTGGCCACATGGTTGTTCCCCGGCTTTTGAATACTTGAGTCCATCAATATTGATTTTGAGTTTTAAGGTTCTTTTGTCTGGATGAACATGCTTGGCCTGACGAATGTACTGCTCGAGACCAAAATGAATGTATTTTCCAGGTGATATTTCCACACATTTTACATCTGCCTTGATCGGTTTCACAAGTGTTCTACTGTCAGCCGGAAACGATTCAAAGCATTTGTGGGTTCGCAAAATTTTTAAAAGACCGGTGAGTTGGTTGTGCTTAATGGAATAATCGATTGCCCAAGATTTAATTTCTTCTATTAATGGTCGAAAAAGCACTTTCTTCACGTCTGCAGCTGAATTTTCATGTTCACTATCACTGTTATGCATACACTCTTCATCATAACTATCACTTTCACTTGATGATACGTTATTGTCCTCTAGATTACAATCGTTGCGAGTTTGATTATTATTTTGTGGGAGTACCGAACTCGATGTTGGCTGAATTGCTACCTGCGTACTAGTAAAAGTATTTTTTGGAATACTTTGTGTTTCTTTCTTGGCTAGCTGTTGTAAGCGCCGCTGTCCAACCACACCCTTCCGCATGAATATTATTTTCAAATTCACCCTCACTTAAATAAACCGAATAACTGAAATTCCGACATTACCTTATTAATTAATTGTCGTTGAGAAGAACAATGACTGGAATCGAACTGAAATCAAACTCAACTACCACAACTAAACTCGTGCAGTTTTGAGTTGGCGCTGTCAGTTTAATATCATTTTTAAACATGAAAAAGTATATCACATAAAAGAAGTCGAATGCACATCATTAAGACAATCTTACACGACATCTCGGGTAGACGTGAAAATGGCATATTGTGGATATAGTGACGTCACCCATGTCCGACGGCAGAAATCGGAAAGATATCAAATGAACATCTTTCACCTGATATCCATCAACATCACCCGTTGACACGAATATGATGTCTAATGGACTAGCCTTGTTGCAGGGGACCACACATAGGGGGCTATGTGAGACTTGACCTCGTGACCTTTTCCGTGAGTGAGTAAAAATTGTTTGACCTTGGACAAAATTCAAAATTCTTAATGATTCTGAAAACCCATCTCATTCAGATCAGTTTTCACCAAAGATAAAGAACATCCATCCAGGATTGTTGAAATGCGAGCTATTTAAAAAATGGTGATGAATGAGCCAACTTTGTAACTTGACCTAATGTCATTTTGAGGTCAAGGAGTACAGGTAGGGCCTAGCGCTTCAGAACGACCCTAAAGCATGCCCGAGGGATTGTTCGTGCGAAGTTTGCCCGCACTGGGCCTACTGGTTGCTTCACAATGAAGGGAGAAAGTTGACAAGTTTCGTCGAAACAAGTACTGCATCCTCCAATGCCACTACATGTAGGGGGTCGTGGAAATTTTAAAAACTGACTAAATCGAATAGTTCAAACCCGGTGAACAGGTTTTTGAGCTAAAACACCGGAAAATAAAATGAGACGTTTTTTAGCGCCGATAGCTGATGGAGATCGTCATATGTATTAGGCTTGCAGTGAAATTTGGGAAATTTGTTGCAAAAATAATGAAATCCACATTGCGTAAAGAAGGTCAATTTTAACTTTCATATAAATTTTCATGTAAGCATAAATTTGTCAACTTTACAAAGTTTACGCATACATATCCGGTGACCAATTCAATGAAATTTGCTAATGGCTAATGCTCAAGTTTAGTGGAGATACATATTTGCATAAAAAGCAGAGTGACAAGTATTTTTCCATAATAGAAATTTCCATGAAAATTCAATCTATGCCCCTTTGACCTGCATTGAAAGGTCAATAGTTCATCGCAGACCCCAAGTCTCCTATTCATTATTTTTTCATTTGCCCTTAGCTTTCCAAAAATATACGACTTGCAATGGGTCGAGAGGGGACGGTTTGGTGACCGTTGACCTCGGTTTGGCGTCAAACAAGGCCACTTTGAGGGTCGGTACCTAGGCAAGTTTAGTTTAGCGCTCGAAAGGCAGAGCATATAAAAAAATAAGGAAAGTCTCACCGGCGAATGATTTCCCATATGAGGTGTGATATAACATACATACATATATACATAGAACACAATACAATATCCCTACTTCGGTGATGAAGTAGATCATTTGAAATTTTGTGTCACAAATTTGCCAACTTTTTTTCAACGCTGGAAACTATCAATGTATAGGGAGTCAAATTTCCATAAACTCGGTCCCCAATTCTAACCGGAAATGACTTTCGTTTCCTGCTTAAAGTTCGAAGCGTCATTTTGGGCCCAATTTAAATATGGGGTCAAACGCTTCGGAGGATAGTTTTTCCTGTGGGTGTGACGGATTTGGGCGTCCTTTGGATATGTGGTCGGACTAAGTCCGTGCCTTATGAGCCTAGCAGGGTTTTACCGTGTGACCCTCCTTCCGCCGGTTACACCCCCTGATTCATTCGAGCGAAAAAGGCAAAGCCCAGTTTTCCCTCGTTTTAAAAATCACTAAAAATCCCTTTTTTATCCGATTTGAAAAGCTTTTGCCTTTTACTGATCCTAAGTAGTTTCTTAATCATACAAAATTTGATTTTGGGGTTTTTAAAATTATTTCAAAATTGGTGACCTTCAGAAAAATTCAAAATTTTAAACCATTCTTTTTGATATTGCAATATCAAAAAGATAAAGGTACATAAAGGCACACGTAGCTTTCTTATATATTGGATATAAGAAAGCTATGTGTGCCTGGGAATATAATAGTGCACTAATAATGTATGCATGTGCACGTGGTTTCACCTGATAGCTCCATTTGCGGCGGCCACGCCCAGATAAAGTAGTGAAAGCATAGCAAATTCTGCTGAAAATCTTACAAAAACTCCGTTTTTGATCGGAATTTGATAATTTTTACATTGCTTGAAACGGTGAAGTTAAACGAAGCACAAGTTAGACATGCCTAAGACAATGGGTCTGAGTTATGACAATCGTATGTAATTTACGAAATTGTGAAAAATTTGCGAAATTAATTAGGAAGAATTGAGATTTGACATGATATCGGTATATACATATGTTGATTAGCCTGACTAAATAAAATGCACCTACATACATCAGTGAATACAAATACTCAGTTGTGGCTCAAGTTGTTTGGTTGATTGCAGTTAATTTTTTGGTTAATAGAAAGCAACTTACTTTACTTGAGGTCAGCGTTTTTGGGCCCGTTCAGACCTGATTGTACTCAAAGGGGATAGTTGGGGATTGACCCTGGATCCTTAAACAAGCTCTGCAATATTTCGAGAATGCCAATTACTTTTTACATTTTATGCGTACAACTTTATTTTACTCGTTGCTAAGAAGAATTTAGTCATGATATCTATATATTTTTTAGGCTTGTAGTGAAATTTGGGAAATTTGTTGAAAAATAGAATGTTGAAAAATGATTAATGAAATCCACATTAAGTAAGATAAAGAGGAGGTAAGTTTAAGCTTTTATAAATTTTGATGTAAGCTTAAATTAGTCAACTTTACAAAGTTTACACAAAGGACCAACTCAATTTGCCGTTACATACGTATCATTTTTGTTGCCGGTAAGAGATCACAGACTTTACACAGTATAAAAAGTATACTCAAGTTTCATCCAGCATGAGAAATATGTTCATACATATATATTCGAGATTCGACTTAGTTTGCACGTGCAAACTAAGTATATATATGTATATATATATGCGTTTTTTTGCATTTGCGTTTGGATAATCCCAAGATTGACATTCAAAACGAAACAAGGGTGGTCATGTCATACTTATGACTCGTATCGAATCACTTAAAATCGGCACTTTATAAACTCTACAAAATTACAGAAATATCGGACACCTGTAATGTTTTAAATGCCTAATTACTGTTTCATAAGTTTGAATTAGCTACAAAATTTACGCAAATTTGAAAACTCTGTAAACTTGCAAAAATTAACTTAATAAAATTTAGAGTTAACGAGACACCAGTTGGCCGACGCGGCTGGTAGTTTCAAGCTAAAATTGTGACGCGATTTTTTGTAATTTGAATTTTGGTGAGAGGATAGGGAGGGGTAAAAATTTCAGAATTAAGGTGAGAGGAGGGGGAGGGGTAAAAATGTGAGAGATTTGGTGAGAGGAGGGGGAGGGGTAAAAATTTCAGAATTATGGTGAGAGGAGGGGGAGTGGTAAAAATTTGAGAGATTTGGTGATAGGAGAGGGAGGGGTAAAAATTTCAGAATTATGGTGAGAGGAGGGGGAGGGGTAAAAATTTGAGATATTTGGTGAGAGGAGAGGGAGGGGTAAAAATTTGAGAGATTTGGTGAGAGGAGAGGAAGGAGCAAAAATTTGAGAATTTTGGTGAGGGGTGAGTGAGAGGTAAAAATTTGAGAACTATGGTAAAAGGAGGTGCGAAGTAGAGGTTAAAATTTGAAAAATTGGTGAGAGGAGGGGAGATGAAATGGGGGAAATTTCAAAAATCGGTACGAGGAGAAGGAGGGGTAAATATTTGTGAAATTTGACGAGTTGGGAGGAGAGCATGAGACCGAAAAAATACCCATCAGAAGACCTTTTCATACTATTTTGTTACACATTTTTACATACCGATACATATGTACATACTTCGAGTCGAATAACTATGCATTTACCCTATAATTTAGATAAACATATAGTTAAATATTTAATGGTAAATTTTCCAAAAATATATATATTTTGTAAATATTTCAATCATATGAGACAATTTTTTTACTCTTCAAGCCAATTTAACTACAGAAAATCCTGAGTAATATGTACATTCAACATTATACAGCTGTAATTTTTATGGTTTTGTTCCCACAAATTTTGTAAATATTTAGACTTTTTTCTTAAATATTAAATACATATTTTAGCGAATTTTGCACACATGCATTCTTATTCCTCCTCTGCTTATCATGCATAAAATAGGGACTTACACAAAATAGTACTGGTAGGGTATGCTTCTTACACGCCAAAAATAACACAAGAATTTCCTTTTCGAGGTTTCAAATAAAAGGTGGAAAATTACTTTGATTGTTGAGAGTGAGCGTACGTATGACTGACAGATTTTTGTATTTATTCGATTACCGCACCATAAGTGACGCAAAATTCCATGGTGAGCGGAAGGGAGCACGTAACACGTGAAATCTGAAAATGACGTGCGAAATTTGGCATTCTCATTCACCGGCACATGCTTCATCAAAATATTAAATTATTTCCATTTTCCATGTGAAATACCATATACTATTTATTATAGTCATTATGGATTATAATTTTGTTTAGGAAATATCAAAAACCAAACCATATTTCTTCAAGAAATTGTTTTTGAGAAGTGTAGTATATGAAAATCAGATTTCATAGCAGGAACAATTTTGAAATTTCGTCTTCCTTATAACTTTTTTGGCATGCTAATTTTAATCATCATCGTCAGTCATCTCTGTACATATATAAAATGTTTCTATTTTTTAATTTATAGCGATTGTAAGTTATAATTTGTAAAATTACAACTTGATGTATGTATTTCGATGAAAAATATGTATGTACCTACATATTTAATTTACGTGCGGATATAGATGAATGCATATGCAGCCAATTTCGCATACCGAATTGTAAAATAATACGTGCTGTGTGTGGTCTCCCCCATGGCATGACGTAACGTTACGTACAAGCAGCTTTTAGTGTCCTATTTTATTGTTTATGCTCAGATGGGCGATCAGGTTTCGATTTCTTGATTTCTGGATTAATTCGAGGTGATTCATTCTTACATTAGTTTCACCTGGGAAAATAAAGTTTGTTGTTTTTATAATAATAAACAAATATAATTGTCACATAAGCCGGAGAAATTGAAGTAAAGTTTGTAATTTTCCGTAAAAATGAGTATGAACGAGATTTGATGAGGGTTCAAGCACGAGTGGGCTGGTGGCATAACTGGTGGCGTGAGCGACCTCCTATCTAATGAGGCCGGGTTCGATCCCTGGCAGAGATATTTATTTTTGCATTTTTTAAATTTTCTTAATACAATTAAAATATTGGTGGAAATTTTTTATCAGACAATGATTAATAAAGATATCAGCATAAAATTATAGTTATGTAAATATGTAGATTTGGGAATTTTTTGACGTTACTGTTACGTTACGTGACGTTACGTTAATCATTTAACAGTTTTAATATGTATGTAGGTATGTGGCAGGTTTATTTTTTATTGAAAACCCAAGCGAATTAACAGAATATTAGGAGTTAATTTGCATATTGCACCTACATAAATTTTGAAATGTATAAATTTGAGGTAAAATTAATTTGTATTTAAGTGCAAAGTTATTTTTAAACTACTAAATAGAAGATTATACTTTTAGTCTAACAACTTTTAGCTGAAATTATGCGGATAAATATTATGAAGAGTAAGTTACTCTGAGTAACATTGAGAAAACTCACATATTTTAGTACATATGTAATTAGCAAAAACAAGTTTTAGCTATACAGTTAGGATGTACGGACGTACGAATCAGAGTATGCAAGAGCAAAAAGCCGTGCCGTACCTAAAATGAATTTTTGCTTATTAGGCACACAAATATAATCCATGCCTGATAGCTCGAAATGCCTTTTTGATAAAATCGGGGCAGTGTGATAATACGATCGTATAAATGCCTTGTTATGTTTCATAGCTCACAGGACTTGTCGACATGTAGGCCATGAAGTTCATTTATTAGTACGATTGCCGACACCACGAAACAAGACCTCTTGAGGTATATAAATATTCATCAATACTAATAATTGTCGTAAGCTTATCAGTAAATAATATTGTGTATGTAGTTGTGGAGAAGTGCAAAGTTGGTAACGTTTCAGAAAAACCCAAATGTAAAGCCAGTTACATTGTTACCACAATTCTCGTCCATACTATTGACTCCATAGTCAAATTTGTAAGGCATCAACGGGCAAAAATGCACCAAAAAAGTCAACTGGGCCTTGAAACATTTTGTTTCCCAAAAAGGCACCTTTTTGGTCCAAATCGCACTTCGATTTAGACTTTGTGTGCTGAAATGTGACCATCCAGGCCGTTATTTGTGCATATTTTGTGGGGGGTATTACCACTAGCGGAATCAGATCCCAGATGACATCGTGAATACTTGACATCTGCAACCTGACGGATGCATGCGGATACTGGGAAAGGACGAAAATTTCTAATTGATATGAATATATGGATATGTCAGCGCGAGGCTTTGCCCCAAATATGGATACTTGGAAGTTGGAGGGCCCGTTTTAGCTATATGTTGGCGAGCTAGGCAACCGCTAGGGCGCCAATTTTTGGGGGGCGCCCATGAATGTAAATACTCTATGGATTGGAATTGTATGGGTAGGAGAGCGAGACAGAATGGGGAGAGATTATGCGGGATGTTGCCTCATGCCACGATTTGGTGTCTGGTGTACGAATATATAGTGCTTCTATAGGATTTGGTGCTTGTGCCCGATTACTTAGTGCTTTATGTAGAATTTGGTGCCTCTATCCGAGTAATTAGTTATTATAAAGAATTTAGGAATATTCAAAGGTGCTGCGGGGTTGGAAATAAGTATTGTGAAGTACAAAGTTAAGTTCAAGTTTTGTACAACCTAAAGCGACATAAATTCAATACTTGACAGAACTATCATTTTTAACAATAAACGTTAATACATTTCACGAATATCTAAAACAATCAGTCCCCATTAAATAGAATGTGTTAACTTAAACGTTGGCGAATTCGAGGTTTATTTTACAATTTTCGTTTACCATAAAAGTAAAACCTGATCCTTAAAAAATTGCACGAGCTTTATAGTAAGGGTTTCTTGGGACGCTTGTTTCGAGTAAATCTTAGCTGGCTGTGGGACGGCGGAGCTAAATAATTCTCTGGCAACCGTTGGTTTTACTTGTCGTTTTGGTGTGCTTGGTGGGGACGTCAGAGTGTCAGATTTCCTTCCTAGAATATTAAAATTTATCTTTAGTCTCATTGTTAGCCTTTCAGGGTGTTAAAATTTAAGTACTGTAGGTCATGTTGGATTGGGAAGCTTGGGTTGTTGATGGGCTAGCCAAGTGGTTCTTTATTTCGTTGTGGTAACTGTCAAATTTATGATAACAGTTGGGGCAGCCTACCATAAGGTGGTCAGAAACAAATCCGCGTTCTCGAATGTGTGGAGCTGTTAAAAAATCCTTAGGTTAATCCCAAGATCAATAGGGTTTCATGTAAAAATGATGTTCGTTAATCTTACGAGTTTGGACCTAGAGTTCCATATTCTGAGAATCCGGGTTAGGGCTCGATTACACACAATAGGTGGAAAAAGCGTTAGGAAATAAACCACTTCGATTGCCAACACTACGAGATACCACCTCGAAATGCAATGAACATACCGTGGAGGCACCACTGTTCCCCCAGTTTTCGTCGTTCACCAAACTTCTTACAAAATCCAACCATTACTGAAGTCGATCGGGTGCTTTTGGAAATTTAAAAATTTAGTAAATAAATTTTCGTACATAACTTCATAATTATTACAACGATCGAACGAATTAAAATATCTGAACCAGGGTGTATAAACATTTTTGTTGTCCGTGGTTTCTCCTAAGGAGAAACCACGGACAACAAAAATGTTTATGCACCCTGTATCTGAACATTGATATTCCCGGAGGTAAACCGTAATGCGATTTGCACCCTAGCACGGATCATGTTATGTGACAATTTGAGTTCTGTCAAAAATATAATTTCAGCAAATGCTAAATTTAAATGAACAAAATTGTAGTATTTGCCAGTATTTAGATTAATTGTAACGATAATTTGAAAAAAAGCTGACAAACACAATATTTGTACACATAAAATCAATATTGTACTCAATTCTTACAGTAATGGTCACCCGGAGCCTATGCGGGGGTGACTACAAGTGATATATTTGTAACAAAGCTTATTATCAAAAACAGGGGGTCCAGGCACCAAGTTATGCAACACAAAGGCCTAACTGTGCAAAAGTTTATGACAGCCCCGTCGTGGTGCTGGATGATGACTCATCCAGCCACAACGTGACACAAATATGCATACATGTTCATAATGTTATTATAAATTAGTTTAAAAATATTGCAACGCAATTAATCAATTTATAAAATAAATCAAACCGATACAAGTATCGTTAAATTTTTCACCATTTCAGAGTTACGTATTTTGCGGGTACCCCCTTTGTCGAAATAAAATAAAATCTCCTTTATAACGCTAGATGGAATCAGATGCACAGTCTGTCTCTCGTGAATCTACTGGTTAAGATATAAGTTGGCCAATCCCTATAGTATTTACATTCATGGGCGCCGTTAGGTCGCTCTAAATATAGACTACTGGATAGAAACAACTTTTATGGAATTTTATAATTTATCATGGAACACAAAGTAACAGTCAAATTCTCGGCATTTATTTAAACGGTTCGCAAATTTTAGCTCAAACAACTCAATCAAACAACTTCTGCCAACGAGAAACCTTTCAATTTATTCAAAAAACAAGGTATGAATTAAATTTTTAGTAATAAAGGTCTAAAAAATTAGAAACCTTAGGGTTAGTGATGCCTGGGTGCGATAGCAAAGGCTAAATAGTTTCCCGTAGAACATTTGTACCACTTCGAGTATCAATTGATTTCCACAAATCTATTCTGTCTTTATTTATCACCACTATATCAGAGGTCAACCCCAAGGGTTTATGCGGCGGCGGCGTGAAAATGTATACTGACTAAATTCAGATAAACCGGTACATGGTGTTGGACGAGTTGTCGCAAAACTCAAAACGCTCTTACACGTGTCTAATAGAATCAAAAATTAAGGTACCCGTGTTCGCGCGTTTTTTCTCAAGGTGCCCCAAATTTTTCATTTCGCCCCAAATACTGGGAAAAAACATTGTGACGCTACCAGTGCGGTGATTGATTCCAAACTTGGCATGCCAACTTTATTTGGCATTGCCCACAGTGCCTGAGAGACTTGGCCGCCTAGGTTGAAATTTACAATGCCAATTACCTGACAATTTCGACAATTTTTTTCGTTTTTTCGAAGTATTTTCGAAATTTATGAAATGGTAT